CTTCATTACTTAACATGTCCTGGTGAAAAGCAAAGCAAAGCAACAATTGATGCAGTTCTGAGTGTTGGAGATAAACTACATACAGCTTTAACCAAAGTCCTAAAATGCCCAGGGGAGAGGTTGTCATTTGAAGATGTTTCAAAGGCTGTCAAACTGTTGGGGGAAGGTGACTCCATTCTATTCCCTCAAGGGATACTCAGTGGTGATATCTTCTCCTTGTCAAGCAACCCACCACTTTTACCTCTAAAGGTAGCATTACAAAATGCCCTCCTAAACAACTCAGGCACTTTGCTGAGGTTCCCGGAATTTACAGTGGCTGTTTGTAAGCTACCAGATGGTTATTACAATCTGTTTGACCCTCACGCAAGAAATCAGAAGGGGTTTGTGGATGGAAATGGAACTGCAGTGATTATGTCCTTCCCTACAGTAGATTCATTAGTGAACCATGTCAGAACCTTTGTTGGACAAAATGGTTTGGAGACTGCCATTCAAAAGTCAGTGGACAGCTTATCCATGGCTGATCGCTCCTTTGAGTTGCTACCTGTTGCCGTATCCAACAAAGATTATGGCCAACCACAAAAAAACAGCTGCTTGTCTAGGATGACCAGTGGAGTATCATCTGAACAAAAGGATGTTTCTTTTCAAAGGTAAGAAAACAACTCACCACGCATAGTACACTCCATTATATTCTAAAAAGATGAGCTTATGACCAAGGCAATACTCACTAGGACATCAGTGAGAAACATCAATATTTGATTTAAAGCATGCTGGTAAACTTGACCCAACTTTTTTGTTTTGTTGAATAATCTTATTATACAGATAATGATGTTGTATACATTCCACTTTGGTTGTAGTGAGATGATCCAGCAAGCATGCAGGAAAAGGCCAGGAGGACTCAACATTGGTCAAACAGCAGATAAAAAGGTAAAGAATTTTCATTAAAAAGTGAACAAGGAAATTTCTTTGACATTTTATTTTCAACATTTTTATTTTCCTTTTCCATTCATTAATATTAATTTGCGTAATACATTATGGGTCATAACCTTTTATTTGACTTTTGAAAACGAAATGCATTACTCCAATGAGTAATATTCTGGTACTTTCAGTCTACAAAATGTGACACTGAAGAAGCAGAAGCAGTACTCAATAAATTCAACATCACGCTCACAAACCAAGACTTAAATAGACTTCATGATGGGGAAGAGCTTAATGATCAGGTACCCCTTTGAACTTGAAAAAATAAAAAACTTAAACTAAACTTAAAACATCATATTATAAGACACATTTCTTTAATTTTTAAGTGTGTAGACCTGAGAATTTTATGTACATAAATAAAATGGAGGCAATGTATGGACGATTGCGGCGCATTAATGAAAAGTCGAACCTCGCTCAAATTTTACTTTTTCTGTGCAGCCATACATGGCTTCTATATTATCTATGCAACTAAAATTTAAATGAGTACACCCCTAAAAATTATGCAACAGTGGAAATTCACCATATTAATTTCAACCTTTTCCTTTGCTTTTAGATTATCAATTTCTACGTAGAACTAATCAATCAGAGATCGAAGGAGGTCAGTCAATTTACAGCATAATCAACACTTTCAGTAAGAGTTTGAAACCATAACAAAAATAAAGTAATTAACTACTGCTTGGGTTTTGGTCTCTTTCTAGAAATCAAACATGCCTAAAGTCCTTTGTATGAATACTTTCTTCTATAAAAAGTTGGCTACATGTGGAGCAAAGAGGCTTGCCAACTGGACCAAGAAGGTATTAATACCGCACTCTCATCACATGATGGTTATGGTCAATGTAATAATGATAATAATGTCATCTTGCAAAATCAACCAGACTAATGAAGGCTGAGTGACTCAGTTCAAATGTTAAAATCAGTATAAATTAATTACGTTTCTAGTCAAATCCTTGTAAATTCTCTAATCTATATGGGAAATGCATTGAGCTTTTCTGGTACATGTACATGTTACATTTGAAAAGTTTTTAAGCATTCAATAAGGCCAAATTGGCAACATCTCAAAAAAATGATGTTATTAACATTACTCTTTTACTGTGTCCTCCATAGATCAACATATTTGAATATGACAAGATCTTCATTCCAGTTCATCTACCTGGTCACTGGGTCCTTGGGGTGTGTACAGAATAAAGTTTAAATGTCTGAAAACAATGCATTTATCTGATTGAAGTGTCCACTCTACTTAACTGTACCTTAATTAATACTAACATCAGTTTAACTGTGCTATTATTAGGTGGTGGATTTCGGCTCAAAGGTTATATCTTACTGGGATTCTATGAAGTCATCTGCTGATTGCGCCTTCTACGAGAATCTCAGGTAATTAACAAGTGTTTTAGTGCCTATGTTTTACAGTGATAATTTAGTTTTTGTGCTTTTTAAGACAAACAATAACACAAATATTTTCCTCTATCATTGTAGGAGTTTTTTGAAGGAAGAAAGTGTCAAACGAGGAAGAACCTTCCTGGAAGAACAATGGCTGAATCAATATCCACAGGTATCACTGTGCATAAAGCTGTGTCATGGTATCATCAGTCTTAAATAAAACTTTTATAAGGTTCAAAAGGACATAACATGAATCTTGTGGGTTATAATACTTATATATTTTTTCCCAGGATATACCAAAACAGTACAATGCCTATGATTGTGGCATGTTTGTTTGCATGGTAAGTTTGGACATCTATGTTGACTGCATTGGAACGACTCAGAAATTAATTGAAGGCCATAATGAAATTAAATTATTATTCTTTACACTTTTAGTTTGCTGAATTCTTGAGCAGAGGGGATCTCCCCGCATTTAAACAGGCAAGTATACCTGTATCGGAATACAAACCAAAGGTTTTTGTAAACAAATTATTTTATTTCACCTTTTATATTCTTTTTAACAGGATGACATGCCTTCAATGCGAAGAAAAGTTCACGACCAAATATTGCAAGGTTTCATCTAAGAGTACCAAAACTGGTCAAAACATATCACATAATTGGCATGCAAAAAGGTGGAAAAAACAATATGGTATCAGTACTATGGAAACATGCCCTGTATTAAAGGAGCAATATTGACTACTCATTGTATCAAAGAATTGAAGTGGTTGCCAGGTTACTCTTTAGTTTATGTTATCTATAAAATATGAGACACAGTGTTTCGACACAAGATAGAACACCAGAAAGAGCCTTGACACACAGCAACATATTCCTGGTCAACTTCAAATTGTTTCATAGATACTTCCATAAAATACATGTGTAATATTAATCGGCCACAAATTATTAAGGATGCATTAATGATAAAATTTTAACCCAATCTCCAAACATGCATGAATCATTGATTGTGTTTGTATTTTTGTTATGATTTAGTAATTAGTTTGAGGAATCATTAACCACAAACGAAAAGAAACTTACGAAGCACAAGTGCTACCTACTTGTCAGTTTAGTTGAATTTCCTTGTTCAGAGGTCATTAAAAAGGAAAGTAAATAATAACAATTAAAAATTATTATTAACAGAAAATTGTTTCTATTTATATTAATTAAGCTTAATTATTCTTAATTATTGGTTATTGCATGAGGTTGTTGCAAGGTTAGGTATAATCAAGGTCAATGTTGCTACATACAGATAAGTCAGTTATCTGCTGCAGATAACTGACTAATCTGTAGGTTGTGCACGCAATGCATGACTTCCAGTAACAATAATATTAATAAATTTAGGTTCCTTGCAACGATATGTTTGTCGTTATTTTCTTCACAACAATGTATAATAAAACGATATTATTATTATTAGATTTGGTTTTCAATATCCTAAATCATCAAGGTCTCGGCAAGTGTTATCAGGCTAGGTTGATAACACTGACTTTCTACCTTGATTATTCCGGATATCTCAAAAACCTCATGCAATAATATTGTTTGTTAAGTGTGGGTTCAGCCAATGACAAGACAGATATTAAATACAATGTACCAAACAAAGAATTTCATGTCTTTATGCATTTAGTTGTATGTCTATATCTTGACTAAGAGGCTTCAAGTTCATAAAAACGTATTGTGACTTTTTCTCAAATATTTTGATGTGATACCCCTTTGTTTTTCAACCTGGTTCAGGTCATTGTTATCGTATAAGAACGAGCCCAAGCTCGAAATATGAGCATCGGCATTGTTGGGTAACATTCAAAATATAAGGATTTGTATGGGAAAAAAACCTACCGTTTCTGTAACGTACGAAAATGAAAGGATTTCAATAAAAAACAGCTTACCTTACTCAAAATGTGTGTTACGTCTCTCCTGTGTGGTCGCGGGCCGATTTATGTCCATTTTATGGGTTTTTATGTAAACGGTTTTCTCTCTATATAAAGGTTTACCAAGGTCGGGCACTACAGCGAAGCGGCTCGATTGATCCACCGGTTGCTCCCCGGGGTCACCCACCCCCTCGGGATGGCCGCTGATTAGTGCATAACACCGTACAACGGTATTTTCTCACACTGAAGAAGGGTCATAAACCCGAAACGTTTTGTTTTTTGAAACCATTTGACACTTTTTGATAATTCTTTACCGAGTATCACCTTATTAGCTACAAGTCGACCTCACGAGTTTCTTAGCGAGCGGCGCGGAGCCATCGAGCTTCTTAAGGCTTTTTTGAAAGGCTCCTTGTAGAGTTTACTAGATCCGGTTCATCGTTTGAAAGCGCAGAGTAGGCATATTTCTTAGCAGGGGAGGAAACAAAAAGAAATTGAATAAATAAAGTAAAATAAAAAACGGAATAGAAAGAAACAAAGAAACAAAGAAAGTGGCAAACATAGCAAGTTTTTCGGACGGGAAAAAACCTAGCCTTGCGGCTAGGAAAAAACCCCGCGGGGGAAGTCCCCTGCGGGAAAAAACCCAGGCAAGCGAAACCACTTCTGATTCGCTGATTTTTGAGACCCAAGATGGCTGATGCATGACATATTTGTTTGTTTTGCGTCGCATCTTTCTTCAGTTCATTGCCAACAGTCATGAAGAAACAGATAGCTAAAACCAGCATGGCCAGCCATCCAGACATCGAAGGAAAGAATCTATTTTCATTTGGTTTGATCACTGATATACAGTACGCCGATCTCGACGACCGGCAGAATTATCACAAAACAAAATGGCGGCGTTATCGAAACGCATTGAGTTGTTTGCAGAAAGCAGTTGCACACTGGAAAACGGAAGAGCATTTGCCGATGTTTATAATACAGCTCGGCGATATAATCGATGGCTTTAATTCTGCAATAGTAGATGCAGATGATAATAAAAGAAATTTTTCTCGAGAAGCGTTGGAAGCTGTCATGAAAGAATTTTCTCAACTACCCTCTAAGATGCCTGTTGTACATAACGTTGGAAATCATGAGCTTTATAATTTTTCGCGCGAAGAGCTCGAAAGATCTGCCCTTCATCCAAGTAACTCATGCCTTGAGCTGAATGAGAACTTTCCTGAGAGTGGATATAATAAGAAACCATTCTACTTCTCGTTCACACCACATCCAAAGTTCTGCTTTATCTATCTGGATAGCTATGACATCAGTATTCTTGGTGTGGACGAAAGCTCCCAGCAGTATGAAGATGCTATGAGCCTACTGCGCAAATACAACAAAAATGATGACCTCCACAGCCCTGTTGGCCTTCACGGTCTTGAAAAGCGCTTTGTCAAATTCAACGGTTCTCTCAGCAAAGAGCAGTTGTCATGGCTTCACAGTGTCCTTACACAAGCAGAAGCAAATAAGCAGAAAGCTGTGATATTTAGCCATGTTCCCTTCAACCCAGAGGTTGGGGATCCAGTCACGCTTTTGTGGAATTATCAAGATGTGCTTGATGTGTTGCAGCAGTTTAATTGTGTCGTCGCCTGCTTTCATGGCCACACCCATGTATGGGACTATGCAGTTGATGACAAGGGCGTCCATTACTGTGTTTTTGATGGTGTGGTAGAAGCCCCTTTGGATTCCAATGCATTTGCCACACTGCATGTTAAAGATGACTCTATTGCCATTGAAGGATTTGGTGTTGTGCCAAGTCGAGTGTTGAAATTTCACAAGTGATGGAATTGCATGCTGTGGAACCCAGTTAATATGTTGACCAGCCTGCCATAAGAATTTGGACTTATCAAATTGGTGGCCTTTAATAAGTCATGAATGCTAATACTTTTATTTCATGATTGGTTTTTTTTCTCATGTTTATGATAGTAATTTTGCAATGCTGACTTTGTAAACGAAATGACTATTTTATGAGTGAATGGTATGAAATCAGTGCACTTTCGGCTTGCTTGGTAGTAATGATGTGGTGAATTTGTCGAGAAATTTATATCTTGGGGTTTTATAATGTGGCTGTGGTCTGCATTAATGAGGTAGCCACATTAACTGGGATCAATTTGATAAAACTTTTACAAGTGTAATCTACAAGGCTAGCCATTGTTTTAGAGTCTGAGAGCATTGGCTACAGTCAACTCTCTGTAAGACAGACACCTTTTAGACTGGCCCCAACTGTCCGTAGACAGGTGTCCGGCTTATAGAGAGTTGAGGTAAATATTATGTGACACAAGTAAAAACTTAATCTGAACCTAATGGCAATGAAAATAATACACATCTGTTCATTTTATGGAAAACATCTAAAACTGGAACATTGTAACAGAAAAGTGGAATCATTTTCCTATTGTGCAATCAAACATTCATTACTAGCCTGCGTAGCAGGTGCTAGGAAATAAATGGGCACAAGAAAGAACAGGCCCTCTCTCGCACGTGCCTGTTCTTTCTTGTGCCTATTTATTTCCTAGCAGCACCTTATATGTAGGCTAGTTCGTTACAAGCAACCCTTTACGGCTTTGTGGTCTAAAAGTGTAACAGTATGCACTCTGGGAACTTGAGAAGACTACATAATTTTAAAAATTTTGCAATGTACTGTCATGTAGAACACCCACATTTCCATTTTGAGATAGTTTTCACTGCATAATTAAAGCAGTTCTCAAGTGACTGTTCATGGTTTTAAAAAGGTCCGTTGTCCGTCTTCTAGAGAGTATAGTTACAGTAAAATGATTGAAAAATGGCAGGGACGAACGCCAGGTGTCTGTCTTAGAGAGATGTCCTTAAGAGAGAGTTGACTGACAGTACATTATTTTGTAAATTACCCTTGTAAAAGTTTTATTTAATTTCCCCCCCGAGGTTTTGCTGGTTTTCCTACAAGATAAAAAGTATGGATTTGTAAATAGAAAGATGGCCATTTGGAATGGTTCCATTCTACTCTAAAAGGGGAGGAACAGCTGCCAACAATGATCCAGACCTGTTACAAATTCAAAATATTTGGGTGTAAATATTTGGGAAATCATCCATAAAAATGCATGAGTTCATCATGTGACAAAATATCACTGTGAGAGGATTAATTTGGTTGCTTCTGCAGGTGCTGTTACATCACTACAAACAACTAAAAAAAACATGTAAGAAAATCTCACTGGGAGTTCTATTGTTTGGATTTTTGTGTTTTTTTGTTACAAATAATCTGTCCAGGTGCATGCTAAAGCCTGTACCTACTGCACGCTTAACCACTCCAAATTTTTTACTTTCTATTATTATTAACTAGATTTCATGTGTCTGTGCCTCTGTTCAGTGATAGGTCACAGATGATGTCAACATGTGGTAAAAACAAAGAAGAGGCACACGAGCCACAGGTGAGTGTGTCACTGGTTTTCTTATAAATATTCTTCGGTTTCTCCCTTTTTCTCACTTGAAAACAGCTCCTGCCAAAGTTTTTTCAAGGCTTTCACTTGCTTAATCAGAAATAATGTTGCAAATATTCTTAAAACCACATAACAAACCAAAGGAATCTAGTTTTCCTTGATGTCATCTGTGTGTCTGTCCTCTTAACTAGATCATGAGCAAAGACCAATCACAGCGCACATAGCATTCACCACTAACATTGTATAAAATTTAAACACATCTGATTTGGTTTGAAAGAACAGTGCCCTACAAGACTGCCTTATGACATTCCTGGGGAGTATGTATGATTATTTTACCTCCAAGCAAATTACTGACAAGAATTTGACTTAATTTATTTTCTAAAGAGAGAAATTCTCAGTAAATGTAAATACTTTGTTTATCAAGTGAAAGTAGACTGTAATGCTTTGGTTAGTTTTCAGGCGCTCTATACTTGTAAGTGATCACAAACAAATTGTACAGTGGTAAATAAAATTATGGCAGTTTTTTGTTTTGGTCAAAGGGTGTTGTGGAGATATGTGAATGTGTGAATTGAGGTGAATTTAGATTATGTCTCTATCTTTAAATCACTTATTTGAGATCTCGAGTGAGTGGTAAATACTGTTGTTCTTTGTTAGCCAACTCAGTACTTTTTCATCACTTTGTTTACAGTGTAATATTACAGTACTTGCTGTTATCACTATAACAATTAAATGTTTATAAATATTTATTGACTTAGTTGAACCACCATCAAGCGGCCACCCTCAAGGTACTAGCAAGAGGCTGCTTAATGGAGGAACACAATCTTTAGCAGAAAACATCACTTTATTTTGAAACAATCACATGATGGTAGCAGCATTACTGGTCCACAGTCAGTTGTCTTTATCCTGGACTGTGTTTTTCCTCCATCATATTATCCATGAAATACACTGTAAAGTTAAACTAAGTGTATCAAGTGCTTGATGGCTGCTTAAAAGAGGTGATGACAATGGGAGAACTCTCACTGGGATGGTCAAAAAGTGGCTCCTCTTACTAGGGGGTTAATTTGGCATTATTTTCTACAATTATTTGGGGACTTTGGTTACTGGCTGCCTCATAGCTGACCGCTTAATGGAGGTTCAACTGTATTATTTTAAGCGACTTTTCAGGGACAATGAAACAATAATCCAGCAAATGGACTTAAAGGCCAGATATTTGAAAGGCCAATTATTGCTTTTCCTGGATTAAAGGTTTAATTCATGACTGTGTTAATTTTACTTTCCCTTAGCTAATTTTTTTTTAGGATAATTTCATGTTATCGGATCTTTGAGTTAAGTTGAACAGTGTTCCTAGTTTAAGCTTTAGTTATTTGTTTTTAGACAAGGGCAAATTAAGTGGCACATTTGTGGGTTAAACTTTGTCACCTTTCAAGGAAGAAGGCTGAGAGGATGAAACAAATTTCATGTAGAAACCGTGGGAGCAAGGTTAGATTAAAAACCCTTAAACTGGTGGGCTGTATTAATCTTCAGATGAGTAGTTTGAAGTCAGATTAGTGCTAAGTTGGGTTAAATGTTAACAGAGCATGTGAGTTGTTAGACTGTTCACAGTCCCCTATTTTTCCGTAAGGTCATCACGATCAAGAGCCTATCATTACAGGTGCCATCTTGGTTTCAGTTGGGGGAGGGAGGCATGTCAAACTGTCCCCACCCTTTTAAGTAGATTATAAGATGCAATCTGTCAGGAAATTGAGTAGTTTTAATGTTCTGTGGAGAAAAACCTTGTACTAGAATGATTTAAACAATATCACATTCTTTTTTACATTTTTCAAGAGTGAAAGATGTTTTTAGTCATCTGTAATAATACCAAAGAAATTTTCTTTGGTGTTCTTCTTGACCGGTACAAGGTTTTTGTCCACTGAAAATTAAAATTACTCAATAGCCTAATGGATTCTGTCTTAATACTCATCCCAAGGCTAGACTTGGTCCATTTTAAAGCAAGATGGCCCCTTTAAAGGTACAACAACAAAAATGGGACAGTGAACGGTTTCATGAGTTCTAATAGCATTTAACCTTGGATTTTCAATTTACCAACATGGCCAAGAACAAATTCAGTTTGTGGTCAGAGTAGGATCAGCGTCTGAGACCTCCTGGCCCCAGTTGTCCTAATGTTGAATACAGTCTAGTCTCTCTAAGACGGACACCTGTGGGACTGGCACTAGCTGTCTGTCTTAGAGAGATGTCCGTCTTATAGTAAGTCAAATAGAGGGAGCAAAGAAAGGCAGGGACCAACTCTAGGTGTCCATTTTACAGACATGTCCGTCTTATAGAGGTGTCGGTTAAGAAATAGTCGACTGTAGTGCTATTCACCAGATAAATCACCATCCAGCGGATAAGCATACTGTAAATCCTCTGTGAAGTGCCCCCTCTCAAATAAGCCCCCCCCCTTTTTCAGGGGAAGAAAGTTAATAAGCTCCCTCTCCTCCCCCTTATTATTCTTCACTAAAAAATGATAGACCATATTAATCAATCACGACTGTATAAACTTTATTTGGACCGATCCGGGATGGTTTATTCACCAACTGGAAGTCTGGATTTGTTTTTGATCCTCGGCTGCATGACCTCCAATTTCTTGTACTTGAGCTTTTCTGCTTTGTATTCTAGTTTTTTATGAAGAACTGATAGCATCGTCTTTGGTGAATGAAATAAGCCCCACCCTATAGAGCCCCGCCCCTCCCCCCCCCACCCCCCTCAAAAAAATTAATGTGTTTGAAATAAATAAGCTCCTCGGGGAGCTTAATAGCGGAGCAGTTACTGTACCAGGCAAACCATTAATAAGTTATCGTTTTATCCACTGGATAAAACAATTTCATCCACAGACTCAAAAGTTAGAAATACATACTAAATAAATAGTACCATGTGAAAGTACTGCTGAAGATGTTTCATTTGAATGGTAACACCATAGGATTTCATCCGCAAAGGCAAAAGTTTGCTACTAAATAAAATAGTACCAATGATATGAAAGTACTGCTAAACAGGTTTCACTGAATGGTAACACCATTAACCATTAACTACAATAAGTATGAGAAAGGGGTACCATATGTCAATAGAGATAGAAGGTATACGAGACGGGTATCTTTTCTGGCAAAAATGGTATATAAAAGGGTAAGGGGTTGGACCTCAGGGCGGAGCCTTCCCGTATAGAGTGCGCGCGGGATTAAGGGTATGAAAAAATTCCACCTTTTATTTTGTAAAATAGAGAAGTGCAAATGGAATAGGGTTGATATTGGAGAGGCAAGAATTTTTTTTCGAGAAACAGGTGGTTTTGAAAGTTGTGGGTCAGCCTAATCAATGGAATTGTTATTTTCTTGGCGTTTTTTCTTCGCTCTTGGCTCAACGTCTTGGTCAGAAAAATACAGTACGGGGATGAAGAAAATATAATTTCTGCGGTCAAGAAAACCATAGAAGTAAGCGTAGGGGGTGAGGCGAGAACTCCCGTATCACATAGACGGCGATACTCGTCATCTCATTTAAGGGCGTAAATTGCAGGTTTTGTCACTGCTTATTATATTTTAAATACGTATATGGGTGTTCAAGAAGGAACGCCAATCTTTTTACCCATTAAGGTATGGCTTATAAAACTGGGACTATACCTGAAAATCGAGTTAAAATCAGGAAAGAAGAAAGTATTCGAAGACGATGTCTTAATCACAATTACAGTTACCAGCACTCTTAAATATTTGGTAGTTTCTTAGGGTCAAATAGAGGACAAAGAGGTAAAGCCACGCCCAAATTTCAGTGCTCCAACGAGCTTCCACGCAAATCTAAAATGAGTGTTCTGTGAGTTTTGCGCCGTAGTGACCAGGTACTGTATATGGACTCTTCAAGTTTTGGTCGATTGCTATATTGTTCATTGTGTCTGATTGTACAGTCTGGGTCCCGTCATGGAACAATCTCACCAGACGCCAAAGCCTGGGATCAGCCTCCTCGGTGAGGTAGCCTGGGACCCGGGGCCCGTTTCTCGAAAGTCCCGGAAACTTTTCGGGCCCGATCGCAGATTTTAAAATCAAAACCTGTGATTTTATGCAGAATCTGCAAGCTTTAAGGTTCCTTGTAAGTTATCGGGTGCCCTACACAGCTGTGATTTTAACCATCCTTCACTGAGCGCTATTTTTCAATGAAACCGGTTGCATAACAATTTATTTAAAATGAGTTCATTCTTACAATTCCTAACGTTTTCACCTATAATTTTTTATTAAATGAATAAACCACTAGCTAATTGCCAATTAAGAAACTGCATAAAACTATTTTCTGTAAGATTTAGGGACTTCAAAAACCGCATAATTACTTCGACGCTGATATTTCATCAGCAATTTCCTACGTCTCCAGTTTACGCCCCTTTGGAGACAATGCGGTTTGCAAATTGCAGCGAATTGTTTATGCCTTTAAAAAACAATTCTAAAAAACAAAAAACTAATATATTTTTTCTGTAAATCAATGTATATTTACAGCTAGCGTTTTTTATGTTAGCACTTTAAAGTGAAGTAAACGCGCGTTTGACGTTTAATCAGACCGCGGCCCGGCGAAAGCCTTCGCGGGTTCCCTTATCAATCTCTAAAATTAAAAGTTCTTCAACCTACAGCTTATTACTTGCAAAGCTCTGTCTTCCAAATTAAATTGACTGAGTCGGACTATTACCTACTAATTCCTATTTTTTCTCGTAAGTTTCCTTAAACTGAGGATCATGGACAAATACAATACCCCTGGGGTGCGATAATTTGATTCAATTTTCGCGAATTTTCGTCAAAAAATTTATTTTACAGACCGCTGTAACCACTGGCCATCATACACCCCCTTAACTCGCTAGCTGGTAACAACGTCCTCTATCAGGAAGCTTATTTAATAAGCAGTCACGACTTAAATAATTAGCAAAACACGAGGTAGGCATCACATTTGTATATCATAATTGGGTTATATAAGCAAATGTACGTTGATGTTAACTTTTCTGTTCATCTTTTCATTCCGCTAAATTCATCCCAACTTGTACATCCTGTTACTGTACATGCGCACTCGGTAACAAGGCCCAACTACGTTGTGAGGCTATGATATCTTGATGCAACAGATGCGAATTCGAGAAACCAGCTCCACTGAGCCTTCTGTAAAGACGATTCATGAGATGTCTTCATTTCATTTGTCCAGCTGTTGTAAAACAATTTGTCAGATTTTCAATACCACGTCGCCTCTTTTTTGCGACTATGATTTCACTTCTGGACTTCTTGAAGACAGTAAGGGAGAGAGTGGAGTCTCTTGAAATTCTATCGAATAAAGGAAAAAAAGGAGTTTAAAAAGGAATGATTTGTAGGATATCAGGCAAAAAAGATGTTCACTTAGCCATACAATGGAAACTTCCGGGTTGGGGGGAGGGGGTACTTCCTTGCAAGAGGCTAACGGGGATGTGCCGCTGGATGAGGTCACATTTTCACGACTGGATTGCCTATAATAGGGTTGCATTTTCAATAGAGTTACTAGAATGGGGTCGCACATTTTCAGATTTTTGGGGGTAAGCCAGTTCTTCATATTTACGATTAGCGAACGTACCAGAATGTTTGTACTGCAGGTGGATAGTAAAGTGTTCTACATTCAGTTTAAAAATGGGTCAATTCATCGAAATAAAAAGTGACTAAGTTGGGATCGCGAAAATTACATATTTGCCCAGAGGTGACTAAGATAGGGGTCTATAATTGGTCACAGAATAGACTATAATGGGGTAGGGGCTCTGAGAAGCCAGCGGCACATACCCAGCAAAAATTAAGCCAAGTAACCCCTCCCGGTCAATTTATTATATAATATATCAAGGGAGAATAATGGGAAAGAAAGGGAATCGTAGATCTTTAGATGAAATATGTGAATTCCACTAAAGTTCTTTAAAAAGGTTGTAATTGAAGTATAATTCCTGGAGCGTGCCCACATTCAGTGTAATCGATTGTTTGAAACGTCCTCGCGCGACTGCCTCAAAGCAATCAATGCAGGGGCCCGTTTCTCGAAAGTCCCGGCGACTTCTCGGGTCCGAAGGCAAATTTCGAAATCAAAAGCAGTTGAATAGTAGTAAAGTTCATAGCTCATAAACCGGTCAATTTTGCTTCGTTAACTGATAATTTCATTGTGTCATTTTCAAAATTATTGAAACTTTGATCTTTAATAATGCAAACACGGTAAACATAAACGCGCTTTTCGGGCGCGAAAAGAGAGCACAAGAGAGCACAAGAGTGCAATATTCTCTCTTGACAACAGTGAATAAAATTTTGCGGACCTTTCCGGAAACCAACCTTCGATAAATTTCAAGCGTTCAATTGGTCTAAAAATAATGGATTAATTTAGGTTTCTGGGAAACTACCCTTCTACTCCTCCCGTAAGCTAACATAAACAGTTACTTCTCACTTAGGGCAAAATGATGGCTTAGGGGAGGAGTAGGTGGGCAGTTTGCCCGAAACCTAAATTGATCCAAAATAACTTTGGAGAAATTCACATATCCCAATGGCTTGACTGGGCGTTTCACTCTCTGACCCATTATTCCCTTTTGATGGATATTTTACACCCTTTATTTACCTCCCGATGACTCTGCTTTATCTACAGCCATGGCTCTAGTCAACTTTTTCCTCGTGGTTATAGGAGTGTCCTTTCGTCGCTTAACCAATAACAACTCATTTTCATCCGTATCTCCGGGGACTGGTTCGAGAGCATATTGGCCAGAAAGACTCCTTTGGTCCGCTGACACAAATTGTGACGTAAACGTTATTTTGGGCGATTGTGTTTGAAAGGCACATGACGACTGAACAGCAGAGGAAGATTGATTCTTCTCCAGTGGCTCGAGTTGTTCAGTTTCTGTGATGGCCGGAGGAGAGGGGATAGTTATGTCGGGGTGATGTTTTATTTGCACGTGGGACGTACATTTTGGAAGTGTTCTAAACTGCAAAGGAAAGAGTAACGAGCAAGTTTTTGTATTAGTTTCAAGCAACTTCTATGCCAAATTGTATTTGTTTTTTAAATTATCATTTGTTTGCCCAAGGAGCACTTAGGAGTTCTTAAGAACTCGTTGAACGTGTCCGTGCGTTCCAGATCGAATTAGAAATTAGAAGTGTTGGTTTTTGAGGAAAGGGGAAAAACCGGAGAAAACCTCTTGGAGCAAAGGAGAGAACCAACAACAAACTCAACCCACATATGGCGTCGACGCCGGGATTCGAACCCGGGCCACATTGGTGGGAGGCGAGTGCTCTCACCACTGCGCCATCCCCTGCTCCCTCTGGCGGTAAGCTATTGTAGGCACCGCAAAATGCCCCCGCAATGGCTCTCTTCACACGGACCGGAACCTCAATTACTCTAGATTAAAGTACCAGATTGAATTCTGGCAGGTACCAAACGCAGGTAGCAGGTCACCGGTCACACACAGATCACAAGTGCATGCATGCTAAAGTATAGATCACCGTGCTACGGCAAATAAGTAACACTAAAAGTGTATCCTAGCCCTAGTCACACTCCGAAATGGAGTTTTAGCTTACGGGGATACTCCTTATCTCAGTTATTTGACAATAGAGCATTGACCTGCATTTGTGACCTGTGACCTGTGGCTTGTGTTTTTATTGTATCAGCCAGATTGAGTTCTAGTTCTTATCCAAATTTGTTCCCAAGGGTTGTCTTCTACTTTGCTCCTCAGAGCGAGAGAGGGGACGAGGTACAAGGGGCTCCGAAAAACGACTGGAACAGAAACTTGGTAACGCGACGAGGTTGGCATTTTGGGAAATAACGTTGAATTGGAAATGAAAGAAATAATGTAGAAAAAAAGGTTTACACATAAACCAGTTTTTCCCCTTATGGGCTCAAGGGCAGGTAAACCATATACATCTGGTCTTTGTTTACTAATTTTCCATGTCGTATTGTAATTATCGACAAACCCCAAATCCAATATTTTCCAAACGTTTTCTAAAATTTTAATCATCTTTCCCCTTTTTTTCCCTCCAAATTTGCTTGGTAGTGCTACTTTCGACCCACAAGAGATATTTCGAGAGACAATAAGTGCCAGCATTGTCCTGTCTTAGGCGAAATTAATACTCTATTCATTGTACTCATACTGGAGCTTTTACTAACTCTTAAACCGATAAATCTATCTTTATCGATCTATTTTTTTGGTATAAGGAATAGCCTTTTGAAGATTTGACATTCATTTGTAGGTCAAGAGACTGTAACGCTCGTTCCAGGATCTATATCTTCCGTTCGCTTTGTCACTTAAACGGTAGAGACTGGAAGTAGACAAAATTGGAGCGAGGTTCATGGGATTGGACAGTCTCTCTCAGTCCGAATCCTTTATACTTTCTACTACCCTTACTTGAATTAAAATTCGCGTAGTACTCATTTTCGCGCAGCTATAAATTCGCGCTAGTAATTTTCCGTGTTCGTCCTTTTTGGTTTGTTTAATAGAGCTATTAACAATTATCGCATTTATAATTATGAGTGTTTTTTTTATCAACAAATTACTACAATATTACCACAATATTTTGAGGTGGCCCTCAAAAAATGCCTTCAAAAGTATGTAAATTATGTAATGTAAGCAAAATTCAACTTAAAACATATGTCAAATGTGTATATGCGTTAATAAATCAACTGATTTGCATAACTAACAATGAGTGTCTCCTTTTACACCACAAATCTTTTCGCGCGGATTATAATTCGCGCAGTACTAAAATTGTCGCCGGCCCAGCGCTGCGTGAATTCTAGTACTGCGCGAATTCTAATACAAGTAAGGCTAAATGTTGTTCGTAAATGTTCTAAATTCATTCAAGCGATTTTTAACGCCATTGTTATGTTAATTTCCGATTTTTGAGGCGCGTTGGATCATGCGTAAATGTATTTGCAATCTTACCTCCTGTTTTAACGTTATCTCTCCTAGAGGGTGGTCCTTGAAATAGTCCACCACGTCACTGATGGTCGTGAACTTTCTAGCGCCAACGTAATATCCCTGGTCACGTGCTAAAACAGCGTGATGACAGACATATTTTCCCACACTAAAAAGGAATTACATTTTATGAAATCGATCGTCTCATTGGCGGAGCCAGTCTCCTACGCAGCCGTTTTTGTCTCGTCACGCAACGCTTGTCCCCTTTTTGGGGAGGAACGTTGCGTGACGAGACAAAACGTTTGCTTTGGGGACTCTGGCGGACCTATCATTGGGAGCAATCGCAGTCACGACCATCTGTTTATATCCTGAAGATCTCAGAGCTCTGTTTGTAACATGCGATTATCTCGTATTGAACCTTAACTGTCCTATTTTACTTTGCTCTTATTTCTTGGCAATAGCTTAGTTTTGTGATAATATTAAATTAAGAATAATGGTGACAATAAGACTGTGAATCAATTCCCCCCAAAAAATAAAACAAAAAAATCAAAATAATTTTTCGAGTCTTTATTCCAGAAATACTGAGAAGTCCTTATCTTAAATGAGGGAAGCACGGTGTCTTCTTACCATATCGATAAAAATAACTCTGACGTCATATCATGAGAGAATACGAAGGCCCCAGGTTCTGCTCTTGACAACAATTCCTCTGCTTCAGAACGACTAAGTTTAAATGGACTCCAGCTGGACAAGAATAGAAAGAAATAGTTATTTGCTTTTTTTCCTAAACGATGTGGACTTTGAACCTTAAATACATTTGTAACAGAAAAAAACTGTGAAACAGTTTCTAAGCAACTTTCGAAAAATTTTCCTTTCTAAAAAAATATGACTCATTTTAATTCAGTTCAGGAACGACTCTGCTAGTTTACAAAACTATTTCCTTTGATTAGCATGCATAGCTTTTTGGTACACGTAGTAAACTTGTTATTTTTTCCAAAAAGGCTTTTTGGTATGTCCTTACTGGATTAAGGCTTTGTACACTATAGCTAGTTCTCTTTAGACAAAGTTTTAGTTTAGTACGTGACTTCGTTAAGTGCGCACTTAACACAGTTGCCCCATAAATGGACACATTTTTGGTCATTAGCAACGTTCAGTAATGGATCTTATTAAGTTGATCTAAGCTTTCTTTCCAAATGTCGATAAGAATATGATTTTGCGCTTCCGGCCAGGGAAGATCCAATGTTGAAAACCGACCATCACTTGCCGTGAAAGCTTAGGTCGTCTAACTTATTGCTATAGAGAGATCGATTCGCTATTTTATGTTGTACTGACTGTTTATTATGGCTTACTGCTTCGGTTCAACTGTACTTTAAAATTCGTGGGTGAAATCCGTACATGCTAAAGTCAAATAAACGCCAACGAGCAGTTCTATAAGCGGGGCCTTGCTGTCTGGTTATGCTGCTCAAGATTGATAACTTGGGGGACGGCGTGTTCAGTGAGTATAATGAAGCACGTCTCCTCAGCTTTTAAATAAAGTTTTGACTTCTTAGACTGTGAATGGCTTCCTAAAGTGCAATCATTAAATTGAAAGACCATGTGAGATCCTATCATGTTGAACTGAAACTTTTATGTTTAAAAAAAGATGACCGTTATTGTTTTTGGTTCCCTACAAGCTATTGTCTAAAATTTTAACTTTCTTTCAGTGAAGTCAAACCACGCTATACCGGCGGACACGTCGTTATCACGGACCTTGCTTTGCCCCTGGGGAAAGAAAGCCCCCACGGACACCCCGTCTATAGGACACTTTCTATGGCCTCCTCAGTCTCCATAGTAACGAGGTTTGACCATATCTGTTATTTTTGGCTGCTTCAATTCTTATTTGTACGTTTGTGAAGAAAAAGCAAATCTTGAAACTGGTACACCATGTTCGACATGTTTGTCAACGCCTGTTTCTGCCGGTTTGACGTAGGAAAAAGGTTTATCTCAAAACTTTTAAATAGCCAATTTGATAATTTCTACAGTGAAACTGTAGACTGCAAAGAGGCAGCTTTGTAAACAAATGGAGTGGAAAATATTTTTGAACAATGCGTGTTGAAAACGTTTTAGGTCCAGACCAATACTTCAGAATTAAATGGTGTAGCTTCTAGCCCTCACACAAGGCAGATTAATTTCGCTCGCATAAAATTTACTACTTAGCTTTCAAACTAGCCAGATGCAAATCTTTAATAAATGTAAACATTAAAACAACAGAATAATCGTTGGAAATTAAAATCACGGCCGCCTATGAAGTGGTGCGGAGGTTTCACTTAAATACCTTAAAAACAGACCTTTGAAAAACTTTTGAAACCCCATTTTTTTTAAAACTGATCAAAGAACTGCTAATGATTTGGATAATATATTCATGTTTATCTGAACGTGTCAGTTGAATATGAATAATTTATTTTAAACCTAACGGGAGATCAACAAATAAAAAAGATAAAAATCAGCCAGCTTAAGAAACCAAAAGAAATCGTTTTGCACATTCATTTTACATGTAAACGAGCTGTGTTATCATCTGTCGAAGGCCAATACAAAATAAACTGCTGTTTTGTAGATATGAGAAATTGAATGACCTGCCAGAGATCATGAGAATAAGCTAAAAAAATCTGTACATAGATTTGTCTTTCCTAAGGCAAATGCAAAATTATACATCTTCATTTTGCTTCAGTTCTCGGTAATTAAAGCAGTCATCATCTCGCCAACGCATCTTTCATCCCCTTCTTTGACGGTCTGAAAGAAGTGTCAACACACTAGTGCATATTTTATGAGAGAATAATTGACTTCGATGGCGAAATAACTTTTTTCTGTCTTTCGCGCGCTTAACACCTGCATGCGATGGCGGTCGTACAGCTATTACAAAAAGGAGGGTAATGAAAATTAGGCAAAAAACTGAAATTCTTGCGGCGTGTTTAAGGCTTTCTCTTCGACTTGGATTTATATAAAAGGCTTATAAAATTTATGTTATACTTGTATTGCAATAAGTACCGAAGCAAGTCACTACTTCTAGTGATATTTAAATTCATAAGCTGAGTAAATTCTTTTCAAGCTACTTGGCATAAGAAAAAGCAAATTAGCATGCGTATTCGAATCGGTTTTAGAGATAACTTGGAAAATACTGACTCGCGTTCGTTTTAGTGAAAGTAGTCATTCGTTACAATTCAAATGGAGACTCCGCTCAAAATTGGCTTTTTTGGCAACTAAGCACGCTATTACTTAAGCCAATGAAAGAATGGAAAACGATCATGAAAGAATCGCTTTGGATCATAACATGAATCAGCTGTTGCCTCTATCTCATCCAATCGCCCCACCAGTAACAGACGTCTTTATTTTCATTTTTTTTCTGCAAATTGCCACCTGTGTTCAAATGACTTATGTGGTCGAAATCGTTCTATCATTTATACCCGTTTTCATGCAGTTAATTTTTTTGCTTCATCCGAGATTTAGATTGTTGTGACGAATAAGAAATTTTTTGTACCTGGCTCTCAGTGATTTGGACTTAACTAAGGAATGAATTAAATAGATCGTATGATGCATTTCAAAATAAATGTTCGTCAGTGCAACCTTATGCTATTGGAAAACGAAAAAAATTTACATTAGCGATACTACTGCAAATATTTCATCTTATCTTTGCTTCTTAAGTTGAGAGTGGATTTGTTTTTGTTCAAAACAAAACCTTCGGATCCGAAGAGAAGTCTTTCATTTTAATCGCTGCTACATTGCGAAGACTGAAATCTCACAGTAGGGGATGCTTACCCTTTAGTATGTCGGTTCGGCTCTTAAATAAAAACATCGTTTAATAAAGTTAGATGTATAAGAAATGTTTTACTTACATTGTGGCCTCGGCTAGCGTCTTTATCGTGGATCCAGTTGCCGTGGTTGACGTGTTCGAAGCAGAACTTCGTGCTTCTGGTTTCCAATTCGCACTGACTACCACGACCGATTTTGAACAACCAGTACCCATCTGCTTTTCAGTATTCTCTCTGGAAAACCTTCATTATTCAGCACGCATTGCCTTCTTGAATAAAACACAACAGAGGGCTCTTATCGCGTTTCATCTTTTGACTGCCGCTTGAAGACTTTTTCCCTTGTAAAATCAAATGTTGTACAAAACTCTTGAGTTGAAAACCGGCGCCGGCGTTGTCCGGCTTATAAAGACTTGTAGAAAAGTGGAATAGATCGGAATTTGTCGGGATCGATGATAGCAAATGCCCAATCTTGTATTTGTCTTCGCTAGGAACGTGTACAACAATTAGGTCTTGATATTTGCATTCAGATCGAACTGAATCAGATTCATTTTTTGTGAGCTATCTATGAGGAGGCGACGTCGGCAAAATTACAATCAAACGTCGAGAAACTTTCACGACGGAAACGAGCAAACGAATCGAACGCTTGAGTAGATCGGATATCGAGTAGAAGTCTGTTTTGGGACCACCTTTATTAGCATTAACGCAATTTCCATAGCAACGTATTAATTTGAAGTGATCTCCGACGGAGTGAGCGCTAAACGTTAATTAAAATGAAATTTCAAAACAGAAAATTCGTCCGCAGTTTGAGCGGGGGTTTCAAAACTCAGATAAGAAATAAATCTAAATTTCTAGTGATCGTTAGAACTCACTTTTTGTGATAAAAAAGGTTAAAAAAGGCTTCCTAGAGAAATCTAAAGGTCGGCGATGAGTGTGAATTGAATAAAACAAACAACCCTGAATCCACATGTCCAATATCTTGCATACTATTGCACAAACTGTTCTTAACCTGGGGGAACAATAAGTATATTTAGATAGAGAACGCTGAAACTTACAAATTAGAATTGGTAACCGAAAGATGCCATAATTAGGAAATACTTCGTACATTGAGAGAGAAATGCGGCGAAATACTTAAGGTCCTCTGAGCTTAAAAGGATTTTCGAAACGTCTCCCCGGCATCAAAATCCGAAAGTCGCCGGAAATTTCAACGATTTCCGAAGATTTCCGAAGATTTCCGAAGAGTGCTGAGAAGTCAGGCGTTTCCAACTACAGCTTCACATTTAAGGTGGTTTTCTCCGTACAAACTGTAAATCCTTCATTTCACACTCAGCCCCATTCACTAATACGAGATATCACTGTTTACAAACATAACCAACTTTTAATAAGGACCTTAAAGCAAGGACGAAGACGACTGCAGTGAAAACGTCGGTAAAAAAAATGAATTTGCGTTCTTTCAAACTTAATCGCGTCTATTTGGACCCGCTCGATATGTCAAATCCAGGCGACTTTTCCTGACGTTGAATTCTTAAAGATTTTATTCAAGTTTGAAAAGATGAAGGAACATTCGTCGTCGTATGTCCACGTCCTCCATAAAACGTGAAATTAGGAGGTTTCACGTCGTAGTTGTGCAGTGGACGTCAAAGAAATGTACTAAAAAGCGTGATGCAAGTGCATAGCTGTTGTTTTGATGACTGAACCTGTTGTTTTCTTGAAGTCGTCGTTGTGGTCTTCGTCGTAGTTGCTTAAGCTCCCTAATAGAGAGATTAAGATTCACGTTTACGACACACGGCAAACGGCAAACGTCAGTTGAGAATTTCTCAAAATAGAAAATAAGCAGATAAAAACAGTCCAGAACGATTCCTTTGGATAAAACTGACATAAAACCACTTATTTTTGTGTAGAAGCAATAAACAGTAAACGAAAAATAAGGGGAAAACTTGGTCACGTGGTACAAATTCACGTTTGCCGTTTGGCGTAAACGTGAATCTTAATCTCTCTAATATCAATAGGTGACGTCGGCGTGAGTATCGCTATACGGTAACCCACCCCATACTCTCCGGGCAAAACAGTTTGAGAGGTCAAAAAGAGCTCAGTCGGCTAAATTTTCTATCAAAACTTTATTCTGAAAAAGAACATACCCTAACAATAGACGTAAAATAAATTCTTTCATGAAGATTGACGTTTTACAAAAAATTATTTAAAAAATTATTCCTGTGTTGCTTGATATATAATAAAAGACGTGGATCTAGGATAAATACCGACCGATTTTCGAAAGGGGCGCCGAAGGTGCAAGCTTCTAAGGGGGGTTCGGGGACAGGCTTCCCCAGGAAAATTTTTTGGGTGTTAACTCTTTAAAGTACCCTTTCGTGGGTTTCCGAGTCATTCAGACAGGATATTGGCCAGACTTCAATAAATTGGGAGGTGTTTTTTATCATTAAAAATATATTTATTATCAAAAATCTGACCGATTTCCGTAAAACGGTGGAAACCGGAGTGGATCCACTCCTGAATAAAGTTTGTTTACATGAATCTAAATTGTATCTAATCATAAATGGCAACGAACGTTTAGCTTTGCAAATGAAAGCTACGAATTCCGACTTAACTGAAACATTGTTGAATGCAATGCAATGAAATCTCCGCTAGATTTAAGGTGGTTTGAACTTTTTATATTGCGTGTTGGCTATGTTTTAGAATCGCGTTTTTCAGCAGGAAAGATTTAACCGATTTCTATAATTTTTGGCATCCTTAATAAAAAATGGTGGAGCTAAAAGAAAATGTTGTTTATTTTCTTGTAGGTATAAAACCGTTCGATATATCAGCATATATTTCTACAAAAAATGTAAATAACTTCAAAATCCTGTGATAAAGATTTTTCCATAATCTAAGCAGATAAGCCTCAGAGATCGCTAGTTTTATCCTCTCTTTTCGGAACAAATCTTAAGTTCCACCATTCTTTGCTTTAATAAAGATGCCAAACCATAAATCGGTTAATCTGTTCCTGCTGAAAAACGCAAATTATAAACATAACCAACACTCACATAAATATGTTCGTTCCACCTTAAGAGTTAAACTGCTGAAAATCTGTCAAAACAATGCATTAGACCAGAATGCTTCAAAGTGATTACGTGTATTAGGGCCTGTTTAGAAGGACAGTGGGTTACCCTTCTGTTAGGGTTACCCTAGCAAGTTAGCTCTGGTTTTATAAGCAAATTACACTGGTAGGGTTACCCTGTCACCCGGTTCAACTTTACCATCTTTAATGACGCGTTTCTACTTCGTCACTCGTGACAATCTTTGTAACGTCCAAGATTTGAAATAAAACTTGAAGTTCTGTATGGAAAACACGTTAAATTCACGAAAAAAAACGTGAAAATATTATCATCGTATGCCGAAAATAGTTAAGATGTTTATAATTTAGCTCAGAAATTGGATAATTCCGTTCAAATTGTCAGAAGATTACTGGTCACGCATGACGGAGGAAAGTTGTCCCGCGTAGGCGAGTTATCCCTAGCAGAGCGTTTACGAGGTAGGTAGGGAAACCCTCTTGCTAGGGTAACCCCAGCATTCAGGTAGGGTTACCCTAGCGCTAGGGTACCTGCCTTGTAAACACGTCGTGTAAAAAAAGAAGAAATATGCGAGTGCTAGGGCAACCCTCTTGCTAGGGTAACCCTAGCACCAGGGTTACCCTCCCTCATTGTAGACAGGGCCTTAGACATCAAGTTAAAATTGGTTAAGCCTCAAGATCGAACAAAACGACAAAACCTACGAACTAAAACCAAGGAAAGAGCGTGCTTAGCACATTTCTTACGAACAGAGAATCAAGAAACAGCAACAAGAAAGCGAAAAACCAACAACATCCTCAGAGACCCGGGAGCAATCCTTCTGAGAAGTTGTCAACTTTGGCTGCGACGATTTCACCTGTAACACGATTTAATGAGTATGGCCGGGTCTCTGAGGATAGAACAACAACATAAGCAACAACAAAGATGATCCACTGAGATCAAGCGCTCACCGTCTCGAGAGTTCCTCGCTTCTACTAAGGTTTTAACAGAGAACCTTCCGGAATCAAGCTTTTTTATATATATATATATATATATTACCGTAAACTGTAAAGTTAAAAAAGAATTCATGCAGGCGATATCCTAAGGGCTTAGCATTACTTAAATAAGTTGTGTTTTAACTAAGAGCAAGGGCTAGGCCAAGCGTCGAAGTTTTCAAGAGACAAACCAAACTCTAACTTGGGTCGACCTAAATTAAGTTAAGATCGTCTGTTGGGTCAGACGTCGAACTTAGAACGTGTCGAACCAATTAACTGAATCAGATTAGTTATAACTTTTCTCCCGAACAAGGCTAAATAAACATTATCATACAAATTTTCAATTTATTAGTTTAGTTCGTCGCATGTGAAGATCGACGTTTGTCCCTGAGACGATCAGTTCGGACGTTCTATCCGTGATCTCTACCGTCTGAAGCAGACGGATAGAACGTGTCGGACGACCAAAACTCATTCGGACGAACTTAACTGAGCCAGAAGCATGTCGAGTTTTTCATGAACTTGACTCGCTAATAATCCTGTGATAAAGATTTTTCCATAATCTAAGCAGATAAGCCTCAGAGATCGCTAGTTTTATCCTCTCTTTTCGGAACAAATCTTAAGTTCCACCATTCTTTGCTTTAATAAAGATGCCAAAAACCATAAATCAGTTAATCTGTTCCTGCTGAAAAACGCCATTCAAAAACATAACCAACACTCACATAAATAGGTTCGGGCCACCTTAAGAGTTAAACTGCTGAAAATCTGTCAAAACAATGCATTAGACCAGAATGCTTCAAAGTGATTACGTGTATTAGGGCCTGTTTAGAAGGAAAGAGGGTAACCCTTGTGCTAGGGTTACGCTAGCAAGTTAGATGTGGTTTAAAAGCAAGTTCCACTGTCTGGTAGGGTTACCCTGTCACCCCGGTCAACTTTACCAGCTTTAATGACGCGTTTCTATTTCGTCATTCGTGACAATCGTTGTAACGTCCAAGATTTGAAATAAAATTTGAAGTTCTCTATGGAAAACACGTTAAATTCACGAAAAAATAACGTGAAAATATTATCATCGTATGCCGAAAATACTTCAGATGTTTATAATTTAGCTCAGAAATTGGATAATTCCGTTCAAATTGTCAGAAGATTACTGGTCACGCATGACGGAGTAAAGTTGTCCCGCGTAGGCGAGCTATCTCTAACAGGAGAGTTTACGAGGTAAGTAGTGAAACCCTCTTGCTAGGGTAACCCTAGCACTCAGGTAGGGTTACCCCAGCACTAGGGTAACCCACTAACCCTACCTGCCTCGTAAACACGTCGTGTAAAAGAAGACGAAATATCCGAGTGCTAGGGCAACCCTCTTGCTAGGGTAACCCTAGGGTTACCCTCCCTCCTTGTAAACAGGGCCTTAGACATCCAGTAAAAATTGGTTTAGCCTCAAGGTCGAACATAACGACAAAACCTACGAACTGAAACCAAGGAAAGAGCGTGCTTAGCACATTTTTTACAAACAGACGATCAAGAAACAGCAACAAGAAAGCGAAAAACCAACAACATCCTCAGAGACCCGGGAGCAACCCTTCTGAGACGTTGTAAACTTTGGCTGCGACGATTTCACCTTTAACACGATTTACTAAGTATGGCCGGGTCTCTGAGGATAGAACAACAACATTAGCAAAAACAAAGATGATCCAATGAGATCAAGCGCTCACCATCTCGAACGTTCCTTGCTTCTAACAAGGTTGTAACAGAGAACCGTACGGAATCAAGGATTTTTTTTATATTACCGTAAACTGTAAAGTTAAATAAGAATTTCAGCAGGCGATATCCTAAGGGCGTAGCATTACTTAAATAAGTTGTGTTTTAACTAAGAGCAAGGCCTAGGCCAAGCGTCGAAAGTTTTCAAGACACAAACCAAACTCTAACTTGGGTCGACCTAAATTAAGTTAAGATCGTCTGTTAGGTCAGACGTGGAACTTAGGACGCGTCGAACTAATTAACTGAATCAGATTAGTCATAAATTTTCTCCCGTACAAGTCTAAATATACATTATCATACCAATTTTCAATTTATTAGTTTAGTTCGTCACATGTGAAGATCGACGTTTGTGCCTGAGACGATATTCGGACGTTCTATCCGTCTCTATCCGTCTGAAGCAGACGGATAGAACGTGTCGGACGACCAAAACTCATTCGGACGAACTTAACTGAGCCAGAAGCATGTCGAGTTTTTCATGAACTTGACTCGCTAAGGTCTAGGCCAAACGACGAACTTTTCATGAGACGAACTAAACTTAGTAAGTTAAGTTCATGAAAACTTCGACTTCCGGCTCAGTTAAGTTCGTCTGAATGAGTTTGGATCGTCCAACACGTTCTATCCGTCAAGTCTGAAGATCGTCTCTGGGACAAATGTCGATCTTCATACGTGACGAACTAACGTAATAAATTAAAAATTGTATGATAATGTATATTAAGCCTCGTTCGGGAGAAAATTTATTTCGGAGCTGATTCAGTTAATTAGTTTGACGCGTCCTAAGTTCGACTCCTGATCCAACAGACGATGTTAAGTTAATTAGAGTTTGGTTCGTCTCACGAAAAGTTCGACGTTTCTAGGCCTAAATTATGTTAAAGCGAGTTTCTCCGCCTTACGTTTTGCGTGACATAAAGTTTGTCCTTTGAGGAACGACACCCTTAGAGTTAAAGACCCAAGGAAACATTAATGCGCTTTATCTTCAAGAAAAGCCATGACTTTCGTAGGAACGTCATGCATATCTGAGACCAAACTACACTCTTTCAATAATGACCTGTCATTCTTAAGGAACGACCCGTACATTTTGAGCGGCGTTCTGCAATCGTTCGTTTTGGGCGGCGACCTGCGCTCTTTTCGGGACAACCCGCACGTTTTGGGCGGCGCCCTGTACTCTTTGAGAAATGTCTTGTACTCTTTGAGGTCTAGGCTGCGATTGGACACCCATGATTCCTGTTGAATTTAAAAGTCGGAGCCGCATTGCTTTAATCCTGTTAGTAATGATATTGCTTGCAGCTTGTTCTAGAGGTGGGGCCCTTCCCGCAGCTCTCAGTTGCTTCTGATACTCCGAGTACGGGTGAAGTTTTTCTCTAAAATAATTAATATAATCTATCTCATTTCTAAGCAGTTTTTGGCATAAATACTTGTTAAAGCGAGAGACTCCCTCGTTAAGCTNCGTTTTGGGCGGCGACCTGCGCTCTTTTCGGGACAACCCGCACGTTTTGGGCGGCGCCCTGTACTCTTTGAGAAATGTCTTGTACTCTTTGAGGTCTAGGCTGCGATTGGACACCCATGATTCCTGTTGAATTTAAAAGTCGGAGCCGCATTGCTTTAATCCTGTTAGTAATGATATTGCTTGCAGCTTGTTCTAGAGGTGGGGCCCTTCCCGCAGCTCTCAGTTGCTTCTGATACTCCGAGTACGGGTGAAGTTTTTCTCTAAAATAATTAATATAATCTATCTCATTTCTAAGCAGTTTTTGGCATAAATACTTGTTAAAGCGAGAGACTCCCTCGTTAAGCTTAAACCCTCGAATTTTTCCGGTTAATCGAAACGCAGTTTCCGTTACTTCTTCTGGTGAAACACAGTCATGGTACATTTCACGATTCTTTCGCCTTAAATCCTCGAGGTCTTTGTAGAAACCACGTCCATGTTGTTTAATTTTCTCCCAGAAAGTTTTGTTAAAGTGATCGTAGAGCAGCACGTCCGCTTTATTCCATGCGCGTATCTTTTCTTTTAGCTGCGGAGAAAGAACCTTTTTGGAAGTATCTGTACCGACTTTCCGTTCATTTTGTTTAATGTAAATAACATCGTCTAAATCCCAGCAAAATTCTCGCTTGAGAAGAACAAGGCTTTCGTCGAAATACTCCATCATAAGAACCAAAGTAAATTCACGTTCGATTTTCTTTATGGCGTTACGAATTTCCTCATCGTTGTCCTGTGCTAAAGGAGCCAGGCCCAAATCAAAGAACATTCCGTTTCGCACAAGATGCATTGATTCAGGGAACGGCGTTTCAGTTCTTGCTAAGTTTCTGAGGTAACCATGGGGATTTGTCAGAAAAACCTCCAAAGGGTTCGAGTAATTGGTCAGTCTAAGAAACCGATACAATTCCATGTAGTGAAACGTTGACTCAAATTGATATACTGGATCACGGAGTATTGTGATAAACTTGGTGTCACTGTGCAAGACTACGTCCATTAGCGGTCTCCTGTAACGTGCATGGTTGCACAGGACACTAGCAGGTTTGCCATTAAGACGCCACAAGTCGACGCTACTCCAGTGGAAATAGTTCGGCCAGCCGAAACGGTAAAGATGCCTCATCGGAAGTGCGATTATGAGCTCTCGGAGATCCGCATAACGGTTCAGAATGTTGGTAAGCGTACTACTTCCGGTTTTGTGTGTTTTGAGAAACGCGATGTGGTTATAAGGCTTGCAGCTGTTGAAAAAAAAAATGACTGAAACTGATTTAAAGGAAATAATGCATAGAGAAAGATAAAATAAATTTTTTTCAGATGACTGCCGAAATTTCAGAGCAGTCCGACAGTTTAGGATATGTAATTTAGACCTTATTATATAACTGGTCAACTATCACGTGCAATTCTTGTTACATTCCTCAAGCTCTAAGCAAGTAGCCCATATCAAAATTCTGACATGACTCTGAGGCTTTCTGGTCATTTTTCTATATTTGGTTTGGGTTTCTTGTGCTCAATTCTCTTCTGGGAATTGCGAGACAATGGAGTCGTGAAAAATTTGCAATTTTGATCCTACAGCCTCGGAGTCATGTTAGAATTGTAATATATAAAAGATGTGAGAAGGAACAATATCAAGGGGGTGGGGTAGGGGGTTAGAGCACATCCCTCTCCTCCTCCCCCTAGTTTTACCCCGTTCTTTGATTCCACTATCTGAACGACTGGAACAGGCTACGAAATGTCAACCGAGCGATATCACAAACTGTTAATTACCGAGTTGCTACCACGTGACCGCCTAACAAGTAAAGGAGAGGTTAAGAGTCACCTTTACAAACCTCTTTCCCAGGTTCTGTCTCCTACCCGTCGCTCCGTAACGACGGGTATGAGAGAACCCGGGGAACGGCAAACGTCAGATTCAAGTTAAGAATTTCTCCAAATAAAAAACAGGCAAAAATAAAAGCAGCTCAACAATTTTTATGGATAAAAATGACGTAAAAATTCTTAAACTCTTTGCAGAAGTAATGAACAATGAACAACAGGTAATGAGAAAACTTGGTCACGTGATATAAATTCACGTTTGCCGTTTGCCGTAAACGTCACTCTAAATCTCTCTAATACAGCTGAACCTCCCGTAAGCGTCCACCAAAAATGAAACGATTTAGTGATCGCTTACACAAATCGAACTACTAGAGAGGGTCCCTTCATAGAAAAGGTGCGGATCGACACACACGTACATTTTAGAGAAGAACGCATTGCGTGCAGTTTCTACTAGTCTATGAAATGTGTAGTTTCATGTTGTCACAAAAAGGTCTTCGCATAACCTGACTAGTGCAGTACATACAACGAACAAAGAGATCGAACAATGCCTCAATTGGTCGCTTACGGGAGAATAAAAACAGTGGAAAATTCCAATCCGTCATAAAAAAAAAAGGTGATCGCGGTCGCTTACGAGGGGTTCCAAATATAAAGTGATTAGACTGGGAAAATTCTGGTGTTTTGAATACAATGTAGTTGGTCGCTTACAAGGAGTACGTCTGTTTATCTAACCGATTTTTTGAAGACGAACCTAACGAAATTTGCAGTCACTGAAGCGAAAAAGCGTCAAAAGTCAGGTTTTTGCGCCCGAAAAGTTCGAATATAACACAAACGAACGAAAAGGAAAGGAGAAAGAGAAAGAACGATTAGGAAGAAAGGAGGAGAAGAGAACAAAGCAATGGGACACTCTTAGTTCTTATAATGGATCCTTTGGAGAAAGTTTTTGACCAAAAAAACTGTTGGACGGAAGAGGTCCATTTGGCAGTAACGTTTTGTTTTTAGGCCGATCTAAATTTGAGGCAAATACTACTTTATTCAATTCAAACGCGGACTATTTCTGGTCTTAAAGAAATGGAATTAAGCAGTATAAATTCTTAAGGACAAAGACAGCTACGGAGAACCAAGTTGCCTTCTAACGACTCTTTGCTGTTTTCCTCATCCTGATTATTTACTCCCCGCAATAATTCTTCAAACTCGCGATCAACGTTGCTGACATTTCTTAAATTCAGCTCTCCGTTCTGTGGCGCTAGGAGACCAGCAGGAACGGACTGTTTTCTTGACGAACCAACTGCCTTGATATTTGCTTCTTCGTTGCTAAAAACAACAACAGCAACATAAAAACTGAAAATAGAAGTATTTTTTCTCTCCTCCCCTTCTCCCATCTCCTTCTTTCCCCCTAAGAAAGCTAAGGGCCAGTTGTTCAAACAAAGTTTAGCCAGTGTTTAACAAAACCACGTTCTAAGCCATTTTCAATTTGCCCAACGGTTTCACCTAAACACCATTAATTGTGAAAGTTTTATGAAAGCATTATAATGTAGACTAGAAAAGCATTTATCTTCTCAAAATAAGCCACTAAGGAAGAGATCTGGGAGGTCCAAAGATTTATCATAACGGCGGCTTAGGTTACACTTCGTTTAAATAACCGGTCCTAAGGACTGCTATTTCTACATTCCCCAATCTTCCTCTGTCATAAGATCAAAGACGGCGGCTAAAACGTAACAATGCGAAAATAAAAACAGGCAGCTTTCGCCCGCCCAAAATACGCGCCAAGCGTTTACAAGGCAGGTAGGGTAATTCTCTTGCTAAGGTAACCCTAGCACTGAGGTAGCGCCAAGGTAAACCTACCTGCCTTGTAAATACGTCGCGCAGAAAAAGAAGAAATGTGCGAGTACTGGAGTAACCCTTGCGCCAGCCCTAAAGCCCGGGGGTACTTCCTAGTAGTAGCCTAATGGCTACCGTAAAATTCCGAAAATAAGCCCCGGGGCTTATATTTTTCAAAGGGCCTTTTTGAGGGGCTTATTTTTTGAGGGGCTTATATTCGGAGGGGCTTATCTATGGAGGGAAATTTGCGTTTCAAAATCGATTGGGTTAGCCTTATAGTTAGAAGTAAATTTACCATTTTTGCTTTGTTTTACTTTGTATTTGAGGGCAATTTTCCAAGAACAAGCCCCCGGGGGGCTTATATTTGGAGGGGCGATTTAACGGAGGGTTTTTTGCGTTACTGGTTTGGGGGGCTTATACATGGAGGGGCTGATTTTCAGAGTTTTACGGTATGTTCTGAGAGACCAGCGGCACATACCCAGGAAAAATTAACCCAAGTAACCACCGGTCCCCGAAGGCGAAATGCCCTGAAAAAACAAAGTATTGTCATATTTGAAAAGTTTGAAATTTTGAAAGAAGAATGGCTGTTTTGGAATTGTTTTTATTTAAGGTCAACTGATTTTATTTAGTTAAGACTTCGGCTGAGCTTCGTCCTCACGCCATATCTTGGATACTTGATGAACAAGAAAAACCGCACTTTTAAATATTTCGCGAATTTCAGAAATATAAACAATCGCTGAAGTTTTAAATATACTTTTTGAAAATAGTCTACTGCAAGGGTTATCTTTGTCCGGGGAGGATCTCCGGATTTCAGGTGAAGGAGGGGATCAAAGGTTTTTTTTTTGTGTTTGAAATTTTCGATTCCGGGATTTCTTTGGATAGGAAAATTAGGCAAGTGTTTTTTGGGGTGGCTGGATTTAAGTGGAGATTTTTGGGGTCGTCAATAAAACCAGGATCGGACTACGGATCGGACCGGACTCCGGATCGGATCGCACTGGCATTTTCCCTTTCGGTGCAGAAGAATTATTTTGAGAAAAGCGGCTTTGTAATCATTAATTTTGTGTATTGGGAATTCCACATGTAGACAATTACTGAAATTTACTATAAAATGAAACCGTTATTGGCGAGTCTTCTTAACTTGTGATGATATTAAAGATTTCGCGTGTCGCCTTTTCTCGCGTGGGGTGATTTTCACGCGTGCTCGCGTTTCGCACGCTCTACTATCCCTGAGGAAAATTGGGGGACTACTCGTAGTCTAATTAAAGATCGACCCGAGACCACATTTTTTTGTGGTAAACGCCAGGGCACAATAATTGTGTTTTGGATACTGGTTCACTCACACTACACCTCTCAATTTCACAAGTTTCAAGGGAATCATCAAAGCCTTCAGTGGAATGTGTGTGCGGCTCACGTCAATAACTTTTCCAAGCTGAATATAAACTTTCATCTTTGCAAAGTCACGGTTTTCTGCGATCTCAAAGTCATTGTTTTGAAATCATATTTGAAATGGTGAAAAGTTAACTCTGCTAAAACTGAGTTCCGTTTTAAAGGTAAGAATAAAATATTGAATCTTATACTGAAATATTGGCTCTGACACATGTTATATCATTTAATGCTTTCTGGAAAATTTTAAGGTTCGGAAATTCGGCATGGGATTTTTTGGGGGTTAATTTTTGGCCCAGCGAATTTTTGGGTTTTGTTGGAAGCCTTACGGAACCCCCCCGCCCCCCCGCCCCCATTCGATCACCCCCTCACTTGAAATCCTGAGTACCCCCTGTGATCTTTGGGCAAAATATCGGGATCCTCGATCCTCATTAAAGATCCCTAAAGAGCTTATTTGTCATTTTGCTGCTCGGTAAAAGCGGTAAAAGGGCCTCGCCAGAGGACGGTCTCCTGCCCCATATGATGTAAAATCCTTGTGTGGGTCAAATAAGCCTGAGAAAACAGCCACTTTGCCTGCGTGCAGACGTCTCCTATTTCCCTTGTTGCACGCAGAAAAGGGACGTCGTCCCTTTTCCGCGTGCAACAAAGGAAATAGGAGACGTCTGCACGCAGGCAAACAGCCACCATTCCGCGACGCCACCACTGCGTTATCACCATGCCATTTGTTCATTTCACGGGTCGCGAAATGATGACAAAAATATTTTCAGGCTGGGGGTTTAAATTATAAACCTTCCAAGCACGCTTCGTTATACTGAGGCTTTAAAATACAGTAAACTGATTTACTATCGTCTGTCACAAAACTGAGGAAATCGGTAAATGAAAACTTTACCAACAATTGATTCTAGATCGGGCGAGTTGTTGACGACAGTGGCATTTAAAAAATACAACCCAAATACATCACAGGGGGATATCAGCTCAAAGACATAACCAATCAAATCGCTTCTGAAGAGCGGTAGGTCCTTCAAGAAAAACAAACAACAAACGCGTTGGAAAAATAAAGCTGCCTGAAAATGTTCATAGTGATCGATCTTTGCTTGCGCTCGGCGTTCATGATTTTGGTTACGAATACCAACACTGTGGCTTTTGATTTTTCTGACCTAGGATTCGATGGCGTGGCGAATGGGCTTTTTATGCCGCTACACACCGTAACAATTGAAATCAGCAAAGAGTGGACAAATTCACAAGCGGCTTTCACTCACCCGTACGCGTGACTGAACTTGGCAGCGAAGAAATCAGCGTACTCCGAAATCGCCTTGCTCGGCAAACGTATAATGTTCTTTTCGTTGACTCTGGGAAGCAGCAAAATCGCTGTGAAACACAATAAACATACGGCGAGGAAACACAACAGCAAAAAGCGCACGAACTTCATCCTGTCTCTCCCAAACCACCACGAAAAAATCCAGTATTAAATTTCCCTGACCATCGAAGAACGCTTCCCTGTGTTGTATGTCATGTCCCCGTCACACGGTGTCATGTCACGTTTACTCTTGAATCAAATACTGCAACCGGTTCAATTGATTTTTGTTTGAATAAATCACCCGTTCATTGGCAAGTACCAGTTGCAGTAATCTCCCAGAATTTGGAAGACTTGTTAAGGTTGGGATTCTCAGACCAGTTTGGAGTTGAAAAGTTGAATTGGCCCGTGACTAAGTATAAGTCACCTGGTCACGGAACTAATAAGATTTAATCCGAGCGAAGTACAAGAGTTTTCAGAGGGGCGTTTCCCTTTAAATCTTGCCATAAACTCTATTTGTAACACCTGGCCCACGAAGCCGACTTTCATTTGGGAATTGTTTACCGAGACAAAATGAAGGAAGTTGAAAAATCTACCCTGTATTAAACGTTTTCGAATTCAGAATAAAAAACAAGTGAAAAATATAAAACGAGGATAAAACCGAACGGCGTTTCGGTGTCATGGTACTTAAACTGTTAGAATAGTCTTCTTTTTTATTCTTAATATGTGAAAACAGAACATTTACGTTACGCAAATTGTTTGTTTGTCCATAAAATATTGCTAATTAGGGAATTGACACTTTCCCTTACGTGTAATGTGCCACAGGACTGGACCGGACTGCGAACTAAACTATTTGCGTGACTTTACAATTAATTACAGATTTTAGGTACGTTTCAAATATTGAAAATAGCGTCACGATGACACCGAAACGTAGTTCGCTTTTACCCTCGTAATTTTTCACTTTGTTTTTGTATTATGAAATCTTTAGTTACTAGGACTTTGTAAACGTTTTCAAATTACTATTGCAGTTCATGGTCGTCTAGCTACATGTGAGCAAACAGCCCACAGGTAACCGAGGTTCACTGTTTGTGTCACGTATGTGTTTCATAACATTGCGTAAATATAGAGAACATATGGGGCGAAGTTTAGGTCTGGAAATTTGCTAGAAAATGGAAATAAAAATCGATGAAACTTACCTTGTGGCGAGTTGTTGTTGTCCTTAATATGCACACGAAGTTTCGAAAAAAAAATAGTCTGCTTCATCTTCCCCACATAGAATATACTATGTAGGAAATATAGTCTGCTTCATCCGGTCCTACATAGAATATACTGTGTACAAATACTTCTTACATAGTTTATACTATGTAGGAAAGATGACACAATCGGGGAGTCTGGGTTACCTGTGAACAGCCTTGAATATAAATTGCACGTGGACTACAATATGTTGCCAGGAGCGATGTTGCTCAGTATCCGGACGTTACCCGTACCCGGACACTTGAAACAAAACCCCAATTTTTGAGGCGCCCTTTGTCTGTTTTTAGTTCTCGGTAAACGAAGTATTGCGAATGAAAGCTGAACATTTCAGCTTTAACATGAGAGTTTTGGCGAGTTTAAAGTTTGCGAAACAGTCGCAGAAGACGCCGTTCTGTTCAGGTGAGTAAACATTTCATGGCTTATATTTACACTCTTTACTGCGCAGTAAAATTAGTG